CGTCACGCAATTTCTAGCGGTTTAACGATTAAGATGTAAGTAATGATGAAGACTTGAATTGCTTTAAAATTTGCTTTCTTTTTTATATGACTGCAAAATGTGTGATTCATTGATGAAATCTTAAAGTCCCTCAAGGAAATGGATGAGTTTGGATCCTGCCAAAACAAGGAATGTTGGTTTTCATAGTGTTTGTTGTATTGAAATGGGAATTGGACAAAGAGGATTTCATGCGTTGATGCCACATATTTCTAGCTTTGGGGATGGAAGTTGGGGCAATTAAAGGTGACAACTTGTTATCGTTGTCTGAAACATTGCAAATACAATGGTAAGGCTGCTTGGCTTAGTGTTTCAAATATTTAACATCGAACATCAGTAATTTGACTTTGTAGACAAACTCCGTCAATGGAATGCAACGTATATTGATATGTCCTATTCTAGGTAATGTCACACTGTAGGCTTGGTGGTGACGAGGCGTAAACATAGGGAACAAGGCGAAGAGGGAGACGCAAGTGATGTAACGTTGTATGGGATCTTCCATGTCAATTTTAGTTTAGGTTGAAAATGAACTGAAAAACATTGGCGCCGTTTCTCCTGATCGACGTGGTAACTCTAAAGAGAAAAGAAAGAAATAAGTAGGCGAACCCGATTACTTAAATGCGACATAAGTTTTGGTGAATTTCACCTCTTGAAGAGAAATTTACCAGACGACCAAAGCAAATGTGCAGATTCAGTTTGAATGAGTCGTGATTCCTTTTTTTATCTGCAAGAAATGTTAATGGTTAAACTCGCCTAACAGACTACTAACTTAAGACATCCCATCTCGACGATTGAGAAAGAGAGAATGAGAGACAGATGGAAAGAGTGTTAAGAAGGGAATGTTATGGAGAACTGATGGATAAGTAGATCTTGGTCTACAAATTCATTGAAAAGAGGTCAATTCTATAATGTCTTGGTTTGAATAAAAGTAAATGCATTGTGTGTTTTGCTTTTATTTTTCATTTTTGTTTTTACAAACAATTTTTTGCTACCTCTCCTCGTTTTCCTTCTTGTTATAATCACTGACATTTTGTAGATCTAGTAGTGCCAAGCAAGCTTTCAATAATATGCTCGTGTGCACACACGTACATTTCAAGTGATAAAAGCGATTGAAATTGGCCGGAATTTCTCCTGGCATTTCCTCGCTTCGGGCTGTTCTTGGTACGGCTGGTAACGTCCGTCTTTCCTTTTGGTTTTATTTTGATTGCCCCGACCGTGCTGCTTCGCTTTGTCCACGGTGTAGCTTTACCCTTAGTTTTCACCGGAAATTGATATTGGCTTTAACAAGAGGAAAATAAGTCTTTATATTGGTCTTAATGATTACACAGGACTAAATCATTTTGACAAAAGTCTTGGTAATAAGGGTGGCCCCAATAATATTTAGGGCATAGTAGCTGATTTTATCGTCTTGGACTATGATAAGACTAGCAAAACCCCATAAGTAACGAATAACATCGGTTTATATTCACTTTATTATTATACATTGTAAAACAGAGTTTGTGACTACTTTTTCTGCTACGAATTATTTTAATAAAATTATACAAAAAGTAATGAAGCAAAATCTTATTTTCGACCAAGTATAGCACATTAATCTCGTTTAATTCAATTACAAAACTGATTGGTACAATTGTTCATTCACCCCCTCCACTCCCACATTCTCTTTCTAACTTTACAGTACAATAGGTGCGTGCTCTGCGCTAGAGACCTCTGCATGCATTGCTTTCAAGAACCGAAATTCCAAAAAAGAAAAACACAAAGTTTATTTCAATAAAATTTAAGACTGAGCCAACTAAGGAATCCCAGGACCGATTAAAGAAAACAAAGGGTGACATCGATGTGCAATCGTAAAGAGCTGAAGACATTCGTCTAGGGAAAGAAGGTTGCAAATCACAAGGCAAAAACCGACGAACAAGTCAAGAAATGTAGGAAAAACAAGAAAGAAAACCTCAAATTGCCTACCACTAGCAAAGTCGCAACACGTAAGTTTTTTGGGCTAGTGATACTAAAGAAAGAAATAGAAAAGCTACACAAGAGAGGTAACAACATCCTGGTCAGGAAAGGGCAGACAATGCTTAGGCTAGAGAAAGGTTCCATTCAAAACAAAAAAAAGGAAAAAGGTGAAGACACAGAGAAAAAGAAAAAAGATGTTCAATATATTCGAAGAAGTGTTTTACAGACACCCTCATCATGCAAACAAGCTGTCCACAGAGTTATGAAAGTCTTTCCAAAAGTCAAAGCAGCTCGAAAGCAAACGTTGGAAGATGTACTCTATACGTCAGAAAACTCTTTATCAAACCAGCGGCAAAAAGACATATTGGAATTCCTCATCCTTGCTGAATGAAGTTGGACTTTGAAAAGAAGCTAGTAAACATTCCATACACTTGTTTTATGCTCAGTGGCAATGTTACGTGTTTTTGAAATCATAAAGAGCTGTTAGGGAAGTAGAGGTCCATACTGTGATGAA